CTTCTTTCAATACCGACAATTGTCAAACATTCCTTCTACCACATCCTATCATTCTTGAATGGTTCATCTCGTTGGAAATGTACTTCAAAATCCTTGATAAGTTTCATCTCACGATATGCTTTGGTATCAATTGCAAAAACCAACAAAAAAAGAAATCAATGACGAGCCGCCGTATATATGATTGGCAACCATGTATTTTTTTTGACTCGAAACTAGCTTTTGAGCTTGACTAGAGCAAGTCCTAGAGTTCAAGATTACACTAGTGCTGCTTTAGACAAAAACCAAACCACACTGAAAAAATATTCAGTAGTAGTCATGATTAAAGGTTTGAGAGGATGGTTTGCTTCATCCACGTTGGCTAGGTTTTTTCTAGCGGTAATTAAAAGTATCAGGTGAGGTTAAATTATTGCAGTCTTACATATTATGTCATTTATTATATCTAAAATATGTATATGTCTTACCATTTAAATTATAACATTTAAAAATAATAAATTATATGTATAATAGAAATACGAATGAAGTGATTTAATCATCACTTTCTTCTTTGCTTTGAACTTCATGTTATTGTTGTTTGATGATGTTCATCTGTCATCTTGCTTCACTTCCTCCACATAGCTTCTTAAGTTTTCTGCTTTACCCCTTGCTTCCAACCAACGCTACTCTTTTATGTTTGATATTACGACTTTTAGCATGATGCTAAAAGCATGAACGTCATCCAATTTTATCTTCGTAAAATTCATCCAAAGATATCTGCTCTCATCCAATCAGTTGAGAATGTGCAAGGTATCAGAGACTCCGCTCGCCATCATTGTTACTTCATGTACCAGAGAGATTAAACATGTTCCATGTACATGTGGGAACAAAACTATTATCATTTCATCAATAAATGATTCATACATCTCTTCTTATCTTCATTTTTCTAACTTTTTGTTTGTTTGAAGAGCGATAGTTACATGAGTTCTTCAGAAAAATCCTTGTTTCAACTCTATAATTGTTTTGTCTCATGTTCATGGATCCCTGTCTTATTTTTATTTTGCGCTCATGATTCTCAAGTCTTTTCAGATCCTTCAATCTTGGTTTTTCTTCGTCTTACAAACAATTTGTTGATGATGGCAACAATGTAGCTTCCTCATGTCCAAGCTTACAACAGTACAAATTGTAAGAAATGTGTACCTTGAGGTTTTCCCAAATGATACTTGGAGCAGAGGAGAGTCTCTACCAAGATTATACACAACAAAACATATGACTCCGAATTACTTGACTCATTCATGAAAAAACACCATTCCTTGTTGCACATCTAGTGTGAAGGGAATTGCATGCTACATGCTTTTGGAAAACGATAAGAAAAGTGTCTAGAGCTACTGTGTGATTTTCCAACTTGTGCATGATCACTGCATGACAAGATTTTTATTATCCCCATTGCATTAAACATTCCATGTTAAGAGTAGGATGTTGTTAGACTCCAAAATCATGCCATGTCATCGCAATCATATGTTTCGGTAGAAGTTGCCTGGTAAATCGAGGATCCAACAACATTCAAAAACGTTGCACGTCTCTTCCCACTCAACTTGCTTTTAAGGCCTTGCAAGAAAATCGTTCCAAGGAGACACCCCAAGAGTGATCGAAGTCCTTTGAATCTTCTCTCCATGACCATGTAATAACAACTTCTTACAATATCTGTTCCATACTTCACCGCTTTGCTCGTTTGCTAAATCTAAGCTTTTTATTCGAACCTACATGTATCTCTTCCACTCATGTCGGTGACAAGAAGAGAGTGCAAACATGACAATAAGGAAGAAGAATATCAAGTTCAAAGTTTACCAACCGCTTCCATGAAATTCTTCGCATTTTTCTTGCTATTGCGATGAAGATTGTACAAAGTAAGGAGAATTCAACTAGACCACTCTGCTCTCTACTCTTCTTTGGAATTGCCACCGCCGAAGACTTGTACATCTTGTTGGATGATACTTGATGAAGTATATGTGTGATAGCTTAGTGGCGTAGATGCCGCTTTACGGACCTGGTACACAACGAGGGAGCGTGGGTGGAAATTGAGAAGGAAAATCTTACTACGGTCGGGCTTGATCTAGACAAAAGTCTTACTACTAGTAACCAAATGCTCTACCCTCTACATATCTACTTCTTTACGTCATATTATTGCTAGACATAGAACTGGATCTCATAGTCTTGGGATTGAAGAAGGGCGTTGGTTGAACATTGATAGGAGTGAACGTATTTGTAGGCTATGTGATGGAAGAAAAGTTGAGGATGAAGAACATGTATTTCTTACTTGTACTAGGTATGTAGAGATTAGAGTGGCTCATAAAGTTGTAGTTGAGAATTTTTATTCTTTGCTTCAGCTTGAACCTTATGATTTAGGTTGTTACATTAGGAATGTTATTAGTTACCGTTCTAGTGCTTTGGACACTAGCTAGGGGGTTCTTTTGGTTCTCTCCTTGTTTGGGTTGGATATTTTGTATTGTGTTTTTTAGCCTTTTGACCCTTTGGGTCCCACGGGCTTGATCTATTTACCATTTACCATTATGTACAGTATCATATTTCCTGTCTTTTATTTGTCTTGAACAAACTATGAACAACCCTACTTTGTGCATACACACCATATACAACACATAGGTTTGTAGGGTGAAGACATTGCATCAGATAAATTACGTCATATCATTTTGTGCTATAACTTTTTCGATGTGCATGCTTGAAATGAAAAAATTACAACATGACTTGTACAAAGCAGATTCCTACATCTCAAAGTGGTCTTATCTTCAAATAAAGTTTTTTTTATTCAAGGAATGTAATCCTCTTATTTCCTAAACCCATGTTCATTTGATGCATCTATCTAACTTTACCTTAAAGTTGATAGTTCAGCAACAAAGGTCTCTGTTATGATGTTGATTAGAAAAGATTGATTTTCAACAATTTGAATATATTGAGATTTAAAACCAATAGACTGACCTTTACAGTGCAATGTTGGATGTAGATTAATAGTGAAGTTTCCAAATTGTATAGTTTATTATCGTGAGGACGCTTCTTTAGATCATCCACATAACGGTGTAAATGGTGATGTGCCCATCACTTTAGATCTGTCGCAATAACCGTGTATATGTTTAGCCCTCTCAAATTCTAGGTTCTTTTCTGATTTCAAGCATGCTTCTGTCCGAATTCCATTGTTCATAATTGTTCTCATTTTCATTCCAATAATGTAGCTTGCTTCGCGTGGTATGGTGAGCTATTTTGACAAATCCATTTAAGCTTTTGGAATAACATTCAAATGTTAGTTTAAAACATACTCACAGCTCTAAATTACTCTGCGTCAATTTCACGTTTTACATCGGCTTCATTTCAAACATTGGAATATAATTCTTCGTTCTCCAGTTTAGAGAAAAGTTTACGCCTACCTTCACTTAATATAACAAAATGAGCGGAGGAGTAACTCAGTGCATTTTCTACCACATTGATTTGTCAGAGGGAATTTATTCACAAGTCCTCTCACACAGATATACGATAGCATTATGTAAAAAGTCCACTGCGTCGTGCACCCACACTTAGCTTGCTCTCCAAACTCCTTATATTTAGAAGATGAAAACAGCAACTCTTTCATCGACATTCCCTTTCCATTCCTCGAACAACTCGAGGATAACGATGTCAATTACGTCATCCTAGAGTTTTCAACTTGCGCTCATGACTGAGCAGTCGTCGATGTAAAGTCAACTACAAACTTCTTTCAGTTACCAATTAGAATGGCTAACTTCCTAGGTCGGCGTCCATGGTTTTCTCTACTTGTTGCAATAGAACGAATTTCTCATAACCTGAGTTTCCTATTGGTGCAAAAAAGGTGGCGTTACATCGTCAGAGGTCTCACATATTCAGTGTACATATACTACATTGTAGGTGTCAAATACTTTTCCATTGATGTTTCACAAATCCAACAAAAAAAAAAAGGTTGAGAGAGAAACATTGAATTTCGTTAATTTTGAAGACTACAACAGATACGCCTTGATGAATCTTTCACCTTCTTGTACACAAGAAGTTTCCTTTAAAGGTAACAATATATCAATACGGTCCAAATAAAAAGAACTAGGATCTATTCGCTTCTCAACAAATTATAAAGGACAATTAGCTCCTTCGATTAGATATCTGCATTACAACATCAACCTAGAGAGTGGTTCGTGCATCGATACATCAGTGTGAAGCCTCTGCTTATTAGTCTTAACAAGCGCCAGCAAATATATACCAAAGACATCCTAGGCTAGGTGCACAGTCCTGCAAACAGGCTAAGATCGACAAGACAAATCATGGCTAGGCATCGAAACATTTATAAAAAGAGACAACAGGACAGAGGAACTCAAAATGCCATCATACTAATATCAAATTTGAGAGAGTTGGCCGTGCAGAAAGAAAATACATTTGATTTTGAGATCACAAAGTACGGTGTACATCTCACCCCAAGCTCCATATGCGAAGATAATTATTGCCTCGGCCCCACATTGCTTTGAGGAACAAGCAAGGTCTTCAGTAACATCACATAAAAGACATCATCTGAGTTGGTCACCCACCTAGTAGAAGAAACCCACTACGTGAAGAGGAGCGAGTCATGACGTCTCGACCCACCACTCCACGGACCCTGAGGAAGTGTATAGTCTCGAACATTCAGAGACCACAAAGCCACACACTTCAAGCTCAAGAGACGTCGATGCCAGGAACACGCGCAAATAAGGTTACGCGCAGAACCCCGGCTAAGGGGACTCATATTAAATCGCCAGAAGGCCAGGACCTTACATACGAGCTCAGTTTTCATCCAATTATGCGAATGTTCTCTCGAAAAAAGGTGAAAATTTTGATGAGGGTAATTTCAATATTCACGAGGGTTAGCCAATAACGAAAGAGTCCAACCAACAACCAGTAAGTCCAGCGATAAATGCTGCTTTAGTACAAGATATAGCGAATCCGATAGCAGCCGTACATCCGATCCCTGGAGAGTTCTCACAACACAACCCATTGAGAACATTTAAGGATGCCAAGAGACCTGTCGGTATCTTGTAATCAATGATTTCATTTCTTCCTCGCACATGCTGAAACATGAAATGACACTTCAGATTTGGGAGCCTGGAGATGTTTCATCACACAAGCAAGGTGCATGCCATTTGGCATGTTATGTCGGGAAAAATCTACAAATACATGTACAACGGCGAGGAGTATGGGTTATGTTCCGTTCTACACTGACGAGAGAGGCCATCCCCGACCTCTACGACGCTCTCCTCTCTCAGCTTCACAACCTTCTTGACGGTTCTCTGAAGAAAGGATGCTTCAGTGCTTCTTTCGCAGTCAATCGCTCTGCAGGCTCAAATTTGAGCAACCCATGCAGGAGGTCAATTAATGTTCCAGCTGAGTGGTCCACGTGCTGCATGATCAAATTCTGTGTCCCGCCACAGGACAACAAAGCAACACGCTGTCAGGTGTTGTCCATCCGTCGCCAAGGACTGCTGCGAATTTAATTTATGATAGTCTTAAAAGCAAGACGTGAAGTACAAATAGCCGCAGACCCTATGACACATGAATAACACAATCACCCCAAATGCTAGTCTCAGATTGGCACGCGGCTGAGTACAGACTAGTATGATCTCATAATTCAGTACAAGGTTATCCGTCTTACCCTCAATCGGGGTAGTCTCCGAACAGCTCGAATACTCTCCCAAGATACAGCACCCTCAGGCCAATTCAACTCCCGTCCATGCGTCAAGTACTTTTCTGCTCTACGACTACAGAAAAGAGATTTTTAATCAAAAGTCGTTACTACAAGCACAAGAGAGATCTAAAATGCCACGAGGCCATTCCTGATTTCACTCAACCCAATACAAATCCATGAAACTGCACGATGTCTTTCAGTTTGTAAAATCAAAGTAAGCAACAAGACCCGACAAAAATCAAATGTCTACAGCACAAAAGACGAATGATTTGGGTATCTTACTCTGCCCTCTTGATCATTGACTGAGGTATCGGACCCAGCACACGTTCCATCATGGCTAGATGCTCCAAATTCTCGTGTGTTTGGAAAAGCGCGTCTCCCTGGAAGGTAAGCAAAAGCCAATCAGCAAAAGACGGAAGGAAGATCACAGGCAAGCTCAACAGACGCAGAAAATACAAGGGACAAGTGAGGGCCCACATAATCAAACAGTAAACGTACCGAACACAGTTCTACAAGTATACAACCCACGCTCCATAAATCACAAGGGTAGGTCCACCCAAGACCTGGAAAAGAATCGAATGCATCGATATTAGAATTAGAATTCATCGGTACTCGAATCAGAATTGCTTTCATTGGAAATAGACCCTTCGTTGAGACAAACCGTGATACAGCTCTATCGAGGTTAACAGCAAAATCATCACCTAGAATTACTTCAGGTGCACGATAATGTCGGGTAGAAACCACTGAACAGTGGTAATGACTATCAAATGTTGCACTGCCAAAATCGATCAGCTTAATATCGCTGAATTTCGGGACGCGCTTGAAATGCTTTGTTCCTTGTGAAGACTTCTGTCACAGGATACCATGATTGAGAACATCAAGACAAAAGGACACAACATTACCGACTAAACCAACGAAATTCCCTACCACGTAAAGCTATTTAACGGAACAGCACAGAGATTCTTCATATTCATCTTCAAGGGGGAGTCGTTTCGTGAAGCGTCATGGAGAAAGTATCACCATGAAGGCTGAGTCTCCACATCTCGTACTACGAGTTCCTATGAGCTACAGCTAAGTAGGTTGGAGCAAAGCAAAAGCAAGATTCACGCGGGCCATCTCCTTGACACAATTGCCTGCTGGCAGCAAAGTGACAGTCACCTTATAATCAAGCACTTTAATGTACTCCGTAGAAACAAGAAGGATGTTCTCGGGCTTCAGGTCTGTATGAATAAGAGTTAGCTCGTGCATATCTGCAGGGACAATTCAAAAACATTCGTGAGAACTTCATTCGAAGTTAACAGCTGCACAAACCATCTCTCTTTGCAGTATTCGTTGTCCACACTTCGATCACTTACAGACTAGGACACTCGAGACTTTAATCCAGACCTGACTATCGTGGGTCGTAGCGCGAGCCTTAGCTCGCTACAAGCTCTGAGGTGGTACAAAGGGACATTGGTGCCAGACATCAGAAGAGAAACTGTATAGATTAAAAGCCTGAGATTCTTCGTAAAGCCCAGAAATTAGATAAGTTGTAGTGACCAATTAAAAGGGAAAAAATAGGAAACCAAAACTATCTGCATTGCGGTGAGCTGGCACGTGTTATGGCAAAAAAGGAGTAGTGACCATTCCCAACATCTTGTTACAAATACGCACATCAGTATCGTCATTGAGGTGTGCAGGGTTTGTTCGATTTCGCATTAGGTGAGAATCCGGTTGGTCACACATGAATGCATCCGCAAAGTGTCTGGAGGAGCCCAATGCCATAGAGTAGGCAAGGTTGAGGGTGACTGCGCTATGGCATGCAACAGAAACTGTGTAGTGACCGAGCAGGACCTTTAACACGATAGATGAATAGACTAAGTGAGGACTGCGGCTAAACGACATGAGTCAGTCATTAGAAGCGGCATAATATTTGACGTACATGCTACTGATTCCAGCAGTTGTCTGCTGAATTCGCGAACTAGGTCAACTGAAAAAGGTCGATAATTATTCTTCCTCAAAAAGTCGTACAAACTTGGTCCCAGCCTCTCGCAAACCTGCGCAGAGGAACACAATTTCAATCAATTTCGATGAACGATATAAAGTTCTTGCCAGGTTTTTTATCTTATTCCTCAGCAAGAAGAAAAATGAGCTCCAACAGACTAAATTACGAATCCGTTCACATCGTCAAAACTCAAGACATGTGAAAGTTACACACGGATGAAAACAAAGATGTTCATCAACGTTTGGGATCAATTGATATTGTGCCAGGACATGTACAGCGAGAGAGATACCAGAAGTAAACACTCACAATGCAAACGTGATTGCGGAAGTCGAACCAATCCTTCAGCTGAACACACCGCCTGCATCCATGACACATCGCAAAGACAATCAAAACGAAAGTAAACCATGACGACCGCCCTCAGTAGAGTCAAGGCTTTTACCAGACTGAGTTATAGCACACTAATAAAACGCCGGGGCAACTACTGTGAGGGGTGCTACTAAGTAAGGTGGAAGCACCACACAAGTCATAATCATATGACAGAACAGACCGTGAGCCAGTCTTGTCGTGCTTGGCCAGCGCACGTAGTACGTCTATTTCAATCATGGCGGCATCACGGTACTTCTGCACATTGCGTATCACTTTGATGGCCACATACTCCTGCGCTTCTCGGTCCCAGCATTCCAAAACCCGCCCAAATGTCCCTGCAGGGCTCCAATTCAGCCATGTACGGCAAACCCCATATAAACACCACCGGCATACCGATCCGCAACTGCTTAAATTCATCCTTCCTCAGTTCCTCCAGGATCTGAATATCCTGACCTAACAATCTCACCAAGATTTCCAATACTTGGTGTAGTTTGCCAATATCAGTAGCCGAAAGAGGCTTCAATCGGAAAAGGCCGTGGCAGGCTTAAACGACTATCGGCTCTATGAGGACAGCTACGAATTCGAACCACCGCAGATAAAACATGTCGAAACTTTGGATGAGAAAGCATCTATCCCCCAGCAGTGACTACAATGTAACAAGTTCGTAACCAGAAGTGCAAGACCTACCGCCATAATCGAGCAGAGGGTTAAACCTTAGAAATGCATCCACATATGAGTTGAATTCAGAAGTTGGAGTGAGAGAAAGTAGAGCGCACCTTCACCCATCTTGCTTATGATCTTGTCTGCAAGTACAGCAGATACACAACAAATCCACAAGCACAGCTGTCAGCTCCAGATGCCAAGGCTCCATGATCAAACATGTTTGGAGATCCAAACAAAAAACCTCCTATATAAGGAGGTGCACAAAGAAGTTCACCGGCATCTAATCTCTTACAGCGAAAGCCAAGGCTTTCTCAATTAGAGAAGACGGCTACACATAAATGTGTGACCATCTCTCTGGTCAGATTCAAAACACCATAAATTAAATTTAGTCCCTCAACTTGAGGAAACGGAAGGTGAACTTGATTGGTGAGTACTAGGCTAGAGTTAGCAAGAATGATTACAGCGCGAAGTAATATTCTCTCCCAGCTCAAACTGGTAGTGTCCATCTTTGTCATCCTCGCGCCACGGAGGGGAGGCTACACGGGCGGCTCCATTGAAATACGATAAGGGAAGGGGGCCTGACCCGGGCCCGGGCACCGATGCAGAGACTGCTCCCCCACCCCTTGTCCCTTGCTCCTCTGCCCCATTGTATATTACTTGCTGCGTCTGTAAGAAAAAGAACCGAAACAGCGCGTGTCCACAGTACGTCAGGAACAGGCTCTTAACTGTAATAGACGCACAGTACTACGCGAGACAGAAATTTAGCAAATTAGCTGTATTAATAATCTTAAACATCCACTGAGTATCAGTTCTTGTGAAGATATTACAAGTATTGGTAGGATCTATTCTAGCACTTCCCTCCTTTCGTGCCCTCTCCCTACCTTACGTAATTATAGAGATTCAAACTTGTAATATCTTCAATACTTATTTCAGAGATTGTGATCAACTAAGGTAGTGAGTGTGTGGATATAGAGTGACACTCACTATCTTCGTAAAAAAAAATGCGTGCACTAAATATAATCAAGACTGATGATCGATGAACACGGAAGCATATATGGTGATAGCTTTTAATGGCAAGATCATGTGAGTTCAGACTTTGCCGGTCACGTTACGAAACGCTTTTTTAAGGTAGAGCCATATAAGGCAAGAGCTGAGTACAAGTACTCAGTAAGAACGGGAAGAAGACTGTGACGAGATATAAGATAGAATGAAGATAATGATATCTGCACAGGGCCAACCTGCATATGGTACAAGTTCTGGTCATAGGCATAGTGCACAGAAGGGACCAACAATGGTAAAGAAAAAATTCAACGAAAGCCATCAGATGTGTTCACATGTACATTCAGGCAGCAAGAGCATTGTACGTCGTTTCTAAGGCAGTGTGACCTACTGGACCAACCGAAGGAGAGCACAAAATCACGTTACCAACAAGGTAACGAGATGAGGCTGCGCTTTCCTGAGAAATATGTGTATGTGAAACATGTACCGACATCTTGCTACATGTAGCAAGACGTCGATACATGTAATAGGTGACCTAGTGAGAGATAAATAATAGCGCGCAAACAAACACATGGGAAAATAGGCTCGAACCTTCTGAGAGTCATAAAATGGGTGAGAGGCAGGAGACTATTCTACCGTACTACATTTCAGTCTTCGAAAGGTGTTCTGTAAGGGGCGGTGATTGGAATACGCGTTGTTTGAAAAGAGGGAACAGAAACTGAGAGCTATCGTGTATAGAGTAAAATCGGTGCTTTCGCAATAGAGAGAGCCAGAGCCCTTCACAAAAAGGGTGCGCTGCGAGAACAAGATGATTGATAAAATTTCTTAGGTCTGACGAGCAAGACGTAGACTGCAGAATCGACGCGTACAAATCATACGCTACTGGATTGTGTGATGACAAAAAAACGGACAGAATTATAACATAAGAAAGCGGGTAATACTTTCTCAGCTGGCTAAGGGTAGCACGCAGTAAACGACGAGCTCCATCGGAAGACCTATAACATGCTTAAACTGCGCAAGCCTGTGGAGAAGACTGCGCCCACTACAGTCATCACATTACAAATTTCGATGGGAACATCGTGTGAACAATTCAAAAACCGACTACCCTCACTGAAAGAGTAAACCACACGGGTTTGCCTCGGTGTGTTAAATTGGAGCACTATAACCTCTAACTCGATTAACTCCCGCGCCCAGACCACACAAGTGAGATAGATAATCTCCGCCGTTTTGCCTTAGATATGACTCCGTTTATCAACGAAGTAAAGCTCAAGTCCTTCCGTATGATCTTCCCTAACTCGAATTTACATACTACCCTAAGGCTGGGCGAGCAAGTCAGGCCGTGATACACATTCACTAATCTCGCGCATAAAAGGCAAAATCACCGCAAAGTTCAAACACATCAAATTCTCAAGAATCAGAGATATGTAATACAGCAGCTGAGATTTAAAACTCCTGGCAAATCAAGGCAAAAAGTGTGACCTACCTCGTCGACGTCCCCCCGATCTGGGTCGTCAAGGGTCAACCTCGGGCGCTTTTCCGGCCTTGCATCGTATATAACCCGGTCCATATCTTGGGATCTTTATAGTACTCGTCTTGGTTCGAAATATGGTGTATACTGGACACTGTACACAAGCGGGTGCAAAACCCTGGTTGACGCTTTATCACCCTGCATTATGTTTATCTCGAGGCCTTTCCAATACCCTCAAGTCATGTGCTGCAAGCCTAGCTTTCTAGGTGTATTCAAGACGACGAGATCATAAACACTCGCTCTTCCACAGACGAATCTGTCCAAAACTACAGAACAAGAACGATTTGGAATATGGACAGATTTATCTTGCCGTCGTCTCAATCACGCGATAAAGTCGCAATTTCAGAGCTGAAACGGACGAACTTGCGGCCTGTTATTTCCACGAGAGCGGCAGACAGGCTTTTCGTAACACGAACATCGAACATAACTCCGGGTAACTTCCCCAAGACTACAGCCGCTGTAGGCGGCTTACCCTAGAATAAGTGCCAAATCTCGGGCACACTGCCAGAACCGAACCTCCGAAGAAAATCAGGTGCCACACCAGCACGAGGTGCCGCCCGTCCTGACAGGAATCCTCACAGCCAGGGAGGTGATCCTTCAACCAACTCCATTCAAGAACTCTCTTCCACTCTCGCTCCCTGCCTCCCTTACGTCTGACGAAGACTTCTTCGCTTCTCTTGCCTCCACTCCGCCCCCCACCCTCTCTCCCGGCCTGACTAGACGAGACGACTACGACGACGACGAGGAAGAAGAGAAAAGAAGAAGGGAACTGACGGACTACGAACCACTGGACAAAAGTTCACACATCTTCCACCGGAGGCCACGACATAATCCTACAACTCTCGGACAGGAGCAGCAGCAGGAGGGAGCGAACAAACGGATTCACATGCTTCTCCTACCAGATCGCCAAACGAATCGCTCGCGACGAAAGCGTCCGGCATTCTAAGATTTTTGTGGCGGAAAAGCGGGCACGCTGGGGACGCAGCACGAGCCCTCGAGGTGACGTTCCAACAATAGACAGCAGCGACTCGACCACAGCAGCAGCAGAGATGGAGATGGTGGAAGAAGAAAGAGGAGGAGAAGGAAGAGGAAGAGGAGGAGGAGGAGGAGACGAGACGAGACGAGGCAGCGAGAGGGAGGGAAGGGAGGGAGGGACGAGCCGAATGCAGCAGCTGCAGCTAGCGCTCGAAGAGGAGCTCGCTCCAAAGACTCGCTTCTAGTTCCTTGTCCGCTGCTGGAGGGAAAAGTCTCGCCGCATCATCGCGGGCGCGGGTTCCGGCCCACGCGGGCGGGCGCGGGCGAGGCCACCCGGCCCCGCGCCGGGACTCGCGGGTCATCCGAGGAGCGACGAGGCCAAATACTCACTCCGCCACGTGGCTCCACTCGAGCGGTGCATCGTCCCGTCGGTCTTCACGAGCGCGCTCCTCTTCTGCGTCGTTCGCTTCGTTCGCTTCCTTCAGGGACCGGCCGCCCCTCCCTCGGGCGGCCTCTCGGCCCGGTTTTGTCCGGTCCGGTGGTCCGCATGCGGGTTTGGGCCCCGGTTTTGCACTCCCTGTCGTAGATCCGACGCCACGTCTCCGTCGGCCGCCGACGGTACTGCATAAAGAAAGTCCGTCAGCACCATCGCACCACCGTGATGGATCTCCGGTGACGGAGATTATGATTGGATGCCTACGGAAGAGTACAACTGCACAACTACCCGTCGATCCGTAGGTAGGCTAGGTTAGCTACTCACTTCGGATCTTTATCTTATCCCAGGAGAATATTCCTTGTAATGATTACTTTTACATGGGACTTATAAATCTACGCATTTTCAAAGATATTCTTTCTAAAACGAAGTACCAACTTTTATTTCGGGAAATGTAAAACCATTCCGATGAATTATACAATGATTGATGCAAAAGTAGACAAAAAATACCCACATGAACAACCTAAGCTATCATATCTAATATTTATCTACATTTGTCAGACAAAGGTCGAGATGCCCAAAGGTTTTAGGTCATGTGGCTTTGCGAGTGATATTTAGTATCACTTTGTTGATATTTTGGTATAATTGGAAAAAGTCCTCCGATATTTTAAAAATACTTCAAGAGAGCTATGATGTTTGTCCAAACTGAAGTCATTCAATGTCATTTGAAATTGTGACAGACAGCCAACTAAGGTTGAGGTTTAGAGTCATATGTCAAATCTCCTAGGGTTTTGTTCTTTGGAGATGGAATTTCAAATTAACACATTTGAAAAGCCAAATTAAAGAATAACTACTATCACGTAATCTACCACAATTACATAATTTAAAACAAATTGATGTTATAAAGAATATGAAGATTTCATTATGATACTGGAAAGTGACTTAATCTATTAAAAAAATTAAGATGGTGAGCTGAAACATAAAATGAGATTTCCATCATGATATAATCAATTTTTTTCTTGAATTCTGATATTGAGTGTGACAAAACGTATTTTTAAAAAAAAATTACCTAAAATAACATAATTTAAAGATTTTCAATATATATATATATATATATATACATACATACATATATATTTATCAGAAGTCTTAATCATGACAATGAATGTGAAATCATCAATTTTCTAGATAATATCATTACAAAAACGATCATATATTGTAATATTCACGAGAATAACCATACTTCTATGTTTAAACCATGAAGGTTATTGTAAAACCATATATTTTTAAGCTAAATGTGATGTAAATGATATGAATTGTGATAGTCATCATGATAAAAATCATTCTACATTTGAAGTATTTGAATCTGACATCATGTATCTTTTATTGCAAGTGTGATAACAGTCTCACATAAAATGAGATGGTGACAATGATTATGATTTGTTATTGCATTTTAGAGTTAATCAATTTTCTTCAATGGAAAATAAGCATGGTGAAGAAAATAAAATATGAACTAAGTTGTCATTGAATTTTCTGTCATAAAATAACCTGAAGTCATATTGCGACTGCTACAACTAAAAATCTTTATTCCATTAGGCACAGCTATAATCATGGTAGACGCGGTAAAGTAAGCACGTGTATCAATATCTAAACCTACAGTAATGTTCCATGTTGTGAAAAAGTAGATGATGAAGAATAAAGTAAAACTTATTGGCATTAGAGTAATTCTTAAGTTTTTCAAAATTGATATGAAGCTTAAACTGGATGATATGTTTGAAAAATAAATTCATTCAGATGAGATTTGATCATTACTCAACAAATTAAACCTCACACAGTTTGATTTAGTTGACTAATGAAATTAAATTCAATGTTCGTAATATATCCTATTGAAAATTTTATCATATATGATTTAATTATAACTAGGTCATAACATTTTTCATGAAGCATATATAGTCATTCAATTCTCTATTCTCTAAATTTGAACCAAGCTAGATTTAAATAAATTATTATTACATTTTGAAAATTATAGAGTCGAGGAGAGCTAGATATAAATAAAATGAAATGTTCATACATTATACGAATTTTAGTTTTATGGTTTTTATAGTCAACTTTGAAATCTCTTCTCAAAAATTCTGAGCTTCTTTGTGTTAGTTCTCTTCAAATGTTTAGGGTACACATGCCAACTTCGATATGATTTGCATTTAGTATTTAGCAGATACTCATTCACTTTGACATGTTATGATATTATTGTTATAAAACAACCAAGCCACGTGAATCTACGGAGAAGATTGGTATATCTTACTTAACTGAGCAAGGTACAAAACCAACAGAAAAACATGTATTAGTCTTGATGTTATCATATTGTTTCACATGTGGATTTGTACTAAATGCAAACATATATAATATATGAGGAATATACATGTGGAAACATACCTGGATTTGTATACGATTGGGGATTATGTTTGTTGCATGTTTGATATGAGTGAGGAGATTGAAATCAATATTCACAATTATGCTATTCATAGTTTTTAATCAATTCTATCTAAAATATGTGTACAATTTAATGATATGATTGGTTTTGAACTTACACTTTTTTCTAAGTAAATAATCTTTCCTAGCATTCAGTTGTTTCCACAAGCCATATATATTTCTAAGAGGATTGAATAATGGTAAAGTATCTTGATTTACTGTAACACATAAAATGTATGTACCATTATTCCATTTTACCATTTACCATAATGCACTTCAATTTTCATTATTTTTTCTACTCGTCTAGATAAATGTGTATCATCTTTCTGAACAAAGGTTGCTTGATTTACATATCATGTATAATGAGGATAAAATTCCAATTAACAATAATAGTTCATTGGATTATGTAAAGACGTTGCTCATCCAATCATTATTTTATGAGTTTTGTTTTCCTATACATAGAAGATAGTGAAAATCTTTCACAAATTTCTCGGAGGAAACCTTCTCTAGTATTGCAGAAAAAAGCACCATAGAAATTTTGAAACCCGAGAGGTGATGGAATTCAGTACTCATGTACACCGAAAGATGCGTTAGATTTTAGGCTAAGAAAGCATACAAGACTCTTTAATTTTGACAAGTCAACAAATTTTAGTCTTACGTTTGTGATAGCAAAGATCACACAAAAACGTTTGAGGTTATGTCAACTTGCACACACGAATATAGAGTTCTGACAGGTCACTTAGTCGTTCTTACATTCAATAGGCTAACATAAATATAAACGTTACATTGGAACATAAATGACCAATACCACATGAAGAGTTATAATCTTGTAGGATCCCACTTATCAAGAGTATATTCTCTCAATAACAGAAATAAAAACACTCCCCGCGCGTAGAGCAACTCTCCACCTTCCTGGAGGCAAGATCGGTTACAGTGATTCACACTCAAATCTCAAATTCACCATATACGAAGCTGTTTCTTCCTTCCTTGGTGACCAAACCCGAAGAGTTTAACAACCTTTAATCACATCCTCACACCCGGTTTGACGTCTTCGAGTGACATGCCCTTGCAGGGACCTACAACCGCCCAATTCCTAGCTATCGTGAAATCCGCTAGTGATATATCAACAAAATCCTTGACACTTCTCACGAGTGGGAACATATTGCAGACGACACCCAATGCTTAACCTATCATCCATAAGAACAATGAACTTCTACAGTCTCCTTAAAAACTGAAGATCGAGAACACGACCCCATGTTTGATCATTTATATAGATTATAGCAGAATTTGTAAGCTACGACACATAAATGGTAAAGCATTGTCTGGAAATGCCGTAGTGAGTTCCTGGTGTAGGATGCAAGTCAAGTTTTTCTACGGTTCCGCAGGAATTAGAGATGCCTTCAATGATAATAATCCTTTTTCATACAACTGTCTGCCCTGATCAAGAAGTAACTGAAAGTGGATCATTCAAAATAGCCCACACACAGAAGGTGTCAGCACTGACCCATAATTCATTGGAACCATATTATAGAAAAGGGCGCATGCATATATATCTTGCAAGCACATCATAAGAATACATGTAGGACTCCCACAACATTATGGATGGTACTGGACCGATAGCAAATTGAGAGTACATTATATAGAACAGGGCATGCACAAGGATCTTGCAAGCAGAGCGAAAGAGTACATGCAAGTCATCACGAAGTCAGTTTCGGTCAAGCTCAATAACGAATTGTGATAAACGCTGTGAACACAAATAGGCCATACTAGATGCCCACACACTTCGACAAAGCAAGAGAGCAACACCGTGTGTGTCAAATGGGAATTATTCAATTTGGGTGTGTATCCAACTCAACCTGTTCAGTTGGATACGCACGTTTCAGAGGATATAACGAAGAATACTAAGCGATGGATTGAAAACAGATGCATAAAAAAACGAATCGGATGTGACGAGGTTAGAAGGAAGAATGAAACTGTGAAGTCTAGATTACAAGCCTGACATAGAAACGGACGCGAAACATGATATTCAGGTATTAATGTACGCGTGCTTATTACCGTAGTCCTAGGACAAACAAGAAGTTGCCGGTTGACAGAACCCAAAAAAACACAATAATCGGTCGGAAAACACGACCTTTTCAGGAGAACGGTGCGGTATAAACGAATAACGTAAGAACCGGCAAAGAAGAAGTAAGAGACAGAAACAGTATTCTTGATGCGCATAACCACATCGACCCAGATCCGAATCTGGGTCGATGTGCTTGCAGATCGTGGACAGTCCTCTACCTTATTCCAGTTAGTACCTCATTAGTTCCGAAAAGAAGCGTATCAGCCTTCCATCAACGCTTGCGGCTGAAACAAATGCAGTCACGCCAAGATTCCTCCTCAGAGTCAGTGAAATGAAAGCCAAAAAGATTGTGATGTGCATCGCATACTCTAATGCCTTGCCTACAAGGCCCTACCAGTAAGACCAGTAAGACAGTATCGAGGGGGGCAGGGCAGCATAGTGTAATGCATTGAAATAAGATCATCATAAGATACATTGCCTCTTCTGCCCTGCAATCTTCTGTTCATGGACGTAGGAGTAGAGGGCAGAAGAGGCAATTCATCGTGGGGGTTGCGCATAGGAGCCGGAACTCCATGTAAGAATCAATAATGGAAATCAAAGAGTGGAGCAACAGCTAATTAAGACAGCAGTAACAGGTTGCTTCGGACGCTCCCTACAACGATTGGAAACCAGTACGTCAATGCTGTAAGACAACTTAACGCAAAACACAGATGGAAAAAAGAGATCCAAAATGCGATAAAATCTAAAAGATATTAAACACCGCATGTGAAGTGATGAAAGTGATAGATCCGTTCAATTTATGATGCCCAGAAAAAATGTAGGCACATATTTCTTAAAGAGGGTGTGACGCTCAAAATCTGTGATACCTGATACAGAAGTAGCATGAATTTTACGGACATCATCCAGAGTCTTCCACTGGCCAAACAGCCTGCATCACAAACTCTTGCATTCGCCACTAGTTCCGACTAAGGGTGGCAGAATCCGTGTGCATGCACCCAGATCACATGAAGGTGAAGACACTTGAGCCATCAAGATATTGCTGCTTGACGCAACAAATGCCTTCTATCGTCTTGCGAGCATTTCAGAATGCGCCTTTGAGAGGGATGTTCATTCACCCAATGTAGAGACCACTCATCATTGAGTATCGAACTTAGGGTCAGCTACCACGTAGTGATAGGCCACCACTAGAACGAAAATGCAGATTCCCAAAAAATTGGCGAAAAATCCCAGGTCCTGGTCGTCGATCATCTGCACAAAAGGGGATCGGCAACTGTCAACCATTAATCCTTCCCAGTGGCCCTGACATGGAAAATTTCTCGAACCAAGAATGCAGTATGTTCATTCTACAGCGATAGATTTGTGCAATCAGGTTTGACCAGCGTTTCTCTCTCATTTACGTCCACTTCATGTTCGATGTTAGGGTTAACAGAAACCACGTCACAGACATTTAGTCGCGGGAAAGCAGAGTCGACACTCGAGCAGTCTAGTCCCTGAGTAATTCCTCTTCGACACCGGCTAGAAACTGCCGTCCCGAAAAAAACAATTTGAACTCCAATTGCGCGAGCGGAAAAACTGAAAACTTTTATCCGCAATACACGCAATACGATCACATTCTCTACAGAGGCTCAACAACGATCGGATCTTCGCCGACATGCTTCTTTACAAGCCATCGACTGATGACTACGCTGAAACGTTACAGCTTATCTGTCAGAAAAATATGCCTCTGCAGACGAGCGCGATTTGTACCTTAGCTGGATCGAAGCACGCGAAGACAGAAGCTGCAATCCCCTCCGCCAAGAATTCTGCTTCAGTCGTAAGCCTTCGTCGATGTTGAGTGCCCACAAAACCTCAGCTTCGGGGACTATTAGTCACTGCCGTCTGTCCATTTCTTCACTTATGCGATCTGCCGTCCTGGCTCTGGCTCGGTCCCGGTTCTTGGTACACATGCCGTTGACATGAATGGGTCTGTACTTGCTTTATCATTCTAATATTCATACAATAACTCTAATATACGACAAGAATTGAGGGTTTTATTTCTACAGATACATTTATAAAACCGACGGAAATGGAACCTTTCCCTGCGACCTCAAATCCCATGCCCGGATTGCTCAAGGAAGAGGTATACTTTGGCACCTACCATTTTTTCGTTAGGGTATATTTAAGATTATGCCTATAAATTGTGGTGTATCCAACACCCCAAAATACACACAGAGAAACTGTGAAAATCAATGAGTGAAGTTGAATATAAGCGGTATCCCGTACCTATTATACATCTCCTACAATTTTCTCTGTACAGCTCCGCCATGGGTCGTCAGAAAGGGTTACATATTAAACTTCAAATCAAATTTCTTTTAAAGAAGTAAAAGGATTTTTTCATTTTAGATCATGTATGAGATGGAAATCTGACTAGAAATATCAAACGACATTCGTGAAATAGTATGGAGAAGAAACTGGATTGGAAGAAAAGGAAATGCAGAAGTAGATGTCAACTCATAGAAATAACGAAGATGACAAAATTAAAAATTACTCACGGAATCGAGAAATTTGTCTCCAAGAGAAAACCTACAGAAGAGGTTATTTCCTCCTCTTACACATTGCTATCTTTAATACCAATTATCTAGTAACTCATGAGATGAACCAGCTGGTTTATCACATCCAGATTTTCGTTGGAAAAGGTTTTCCTTCACATGTAACTATATGAACGTGACGATGAGGGACAAAAGAAAAAAGCAAGAGGAATTTTAAGGCTGGAGAGATGGAGAGAGATGATTTCCGACCATATCAACTTGCCTCAATGTCAAGAATGTAAAGAGTAAGGTGTCAGGATTAGGGAATAGAAAGGTAGAATGAAGAAAAAGCTTGAGTCGAAGAATAGCAACGGTATTTAGCAGCAGTAGCAAGAGAAGAGTAAATATATTATGCCTAGAATCGGTAAAGCACTAAACTGACGACAATGAAAGCCTGCGTTACCTAGAACTTAGAATAGATCGTTGCGCACTCTAGGAGTTGTCAAACTTACCGTCGATATTTCCACAAGTTTGATTGTAGAGGAGTTTTATGTGAACAGATCAATGTAATATGTTCATTTATCCATATCTTGATCAATTTTGTATTAAAATTTTATTTTGACCAAAATCTTGCACATAAGATAGTGCAACGGCAAAAAAATATTTTTAACCAAAAAAATCTGTGGAATAACAACAAGTCAATCCTAGATATTAGCTATTCCACTCGTGTTACTTTGCATACTATATATTTATAACTCCACTTTTGTAGACGACAATAATAAAATAAGTTACTTCTTCAATACCCTACGTACATGATAAAGACATGATTTGCAGTAAATTGATTATCCTACTCTACCCCATATTGATTTTGTAAAACTATACAATTTTTAAGATTATTTTGATTTATAGAAAGTTTAACTACCTTCCGTCACAATTAGAAAAATAATATTGAGAAAAAAGACATTTGAAATAATTCTGCATATACACTATTTGAGAAGTGAATATAAATAGCTTTAATCATGTCTGATATTTAAATAATAATTAAAGAATATAAATTTTCATAAAAAATTTTAATCTACACATATATAAGTTTTATATATCAAAAGCAATTCACTTTGAAGGTGGTTTGTAAACTAGGTATGTTTTCAAGGAGGAAGTGAAGTGCTGACGCGTGCTACATATAATTCTATTAAAAATAAAGTCATCCTTATCGGTGACATATCACACCATCGTTGAGAATCTTTAGACCTCAAAGATTGTTTATCTTTGTATTTTTTTATCAGTAAGTTTGTCTTCAAATATAGGGTATTGCATCAGGTGTTTTACAACGAGCACAATTGTTATCTTGTGTATGTCTTTATATGATTGTGGTAGAAATCAACATTAAAATAAATGAACATCTATAGTCATTTATTTTGATGTTGATTTCTACAACAATTTTGTTTTCGACGGTGTCTGTCACTTGATTCAAACGCAAATGACAAACAGACATTAAAGAACAGTAACTCATAACCTTAAATTTTAAACATGGTTTAGATATTCAGCTTGAATCGTGAGGCTTTGCAATTGAAGAAGAAATTTATTTCCATCCCTTTCCGTACTCACGCGATGGATTGTTTTTACTGTAATTTTTACTGCTATGTCAGGACTATACGATATGTTCAAAGTTCGCAATAAAGTGGAGCGATTGACTCTCGCGTATTAACTTATCACCGTAAGTACTAATCATTAAATTCCTGGTCACTTTAAACTTGCTCGGGAAAAGTTTCATGAGATAAAACTCTGTGATCATGTAAGAATAAAATCCTAGATCATGTTTTATTCTTAGTTACAATATAATGCATCAATTATGTAGAAGATCCAAAAGACGATTGAACCGTCTTTCTCCATCCAATAGTACCTAATTCGATAAGAAAATAATATGATGAGCTATAAAAATTCAAGCTACAAAGATGTAATCCAAGTTATAAAAAGAAGTGCCAGCATAAATGCAAACGTATCTTACATAACCCAAGAATGACAAAGTAACCAAATTGTGGCAAGTCAATTTAGTCATAACCTTCTTGACAAGATCAAACCTAAGACGGTTTTAGATCATCCTTCCGTGAATCTGGGAACCCCAGCAGACGGGATTTGTACAGGGTAAACACAATTCAGACAACACTCCAATTCTTATAGTGGCCGAAGATTGGGGCGCATGGATCCAAACAAGAGCGTTTCTTTCTTCAATTTAGATCTACTAAAATACCTCGACAGGGTTGATGATGATTCCACACGACACATGCCCTACTACGTCTTGTATGATTTATGGAGGTAGTGGACCTAAGCGCGCTCTTCCACGGAGTTCAATAGCTCGAGGACTATTAGGAACATTTCATCACTCCAAATAGAAGTGAAGAGGCTGCCGATTGTCTGCGTCGATGAGTAAGAATGTTGAACAAGACTAAAAATGAAGACAAATCCGCAGCCTCCGGATTGTAAAGGTAGTACAATGCAATAGCTCTGGAGCACTTTTATATATCCTATATTTATATAAATATATCCTTTTATTGTTAACTTGAAATAATATAATTTACATCATTAGTCTCTTTTATTTATTGTATTTGTATTCTGGCTAGTATTCATGAATCTAACTACATAGCATTATAGTCATGCATACATCCTTGTAGAAATATGTACGAAAAAAAATAAAATACGTATTGTCTTCAAGCGAGATTGAGTTCATGGTTTTAAAAATAACAAAAAACAAAGAGTATTCGAAACCCTAATTTTTGCCCAAAAAATGAAATCGCATTTTTAAAAAAAGACTCATGTCCTCGTCTAATAAACTTGAGTGAAATACTAACAAATTGAAGTTACTCTACATTGAAACTGTCAAGAATGTATGATCAGCATACAATTATTTTGATGAGATACAAGGTGTCCACAAAGAAATGATACAAAATTCTCTAAAGAAGTGAAAGTAGATCTGAATTGGAAATACAAAGTTTCTCTCACTCCTTGAAAGAACTTTGAAAAGATATAAAATTAAGTCCTTTTAATTTTAGGGTATGAAAGATGACAACTTTATTTTATTGAGATCTTTCATAATCACACAATTTGTAGAATACATTTTATTCAATTTCGTAAGTAACACGAAAAAAGTAATGATTCTTTAGCTTAATATTGGACCCAACTTTATTATTATACATTTCTTGTTCATTGATTCATGAACTGCACGGTATTTCAAATGCTTGAGTTTACACCACATAGTTATCAATCTCTCCAACGTCCATGACATCAACTTCCACCAATAAGTGTAAGATCATTTGCTACAAGATAGCCTGATTTATTAATGTTCTTTTCTATCATACATCGTTCGGCCGGTCCCCTTCAAAAATTATCCACTGTAGGTCTCCATGACATTATAGTCTGCACTTCCCACTTGAAAACTCATACAAATTATATTCCCTGACGACGTCTTCTTCTTTCTTTCAAGTCCTCTCCACTAAAAATGTTCATTTGGGTTATAGTTTCTTCCTAGTCCTATTGGATTCCTCAGTTATTCACATGTCCATAATTCCTCCCTCCCTATCTTGCTGCAGTATGATTCGAACTTCTTTCAAGATCTTTTCATCCCGCAAAGGCTTCGTAATTCCATTGTAAATTCCTGGGAAAAAAACTTTGCATGCTCAACGACGGATCTCCACGTCATAATACCTCGACAGACAGCTGAAAGCTCAGCGCAACGGAAATGTGGAGCAATACCACGGCTTTTCATAAGGCTTGGGCCAGACTGGTTCCGGCTACACTGTCATCGAATTCCGGTCTTATGAGCAAAATTGTGTGGCTGCAAACTATCGCTACAGAGAACGTGATGACATATAAGATCCGTGACAATGTGCGTATTATATGTTCTATGCGTATGGTCTAGACTAGCGTTTTAGGCAGTTTAAAAGTAGAGGTGACATCAAACCGCAATAAGATTTCAACTTTGTTCGTGTAAATATATACGTTTACTGCTACAGGAGGTGGCAGATCTCGTGGTCCTGCATAAACCGAGTACTCCTTAAACCGGTGGCGGGACATGGCACGCTTATAGGTTTCCTAGCATCCAGAACTGAACCTCACTGACCAGTATAATGATTTGTCTGGAGCCCCGGGTGTTCTGCCCCATTACCAGATCCTTCTCCAAGGATTTCCAGCTCCTGCAGATTCTGTACTTTAGTCAGAATTGAAAATCACCAACCACACGCGGGTTGGTGATTTTCAGTCTTCCTGCCCCTGTCGTTCAGAAACTTGGTAGGATCATCAGAAACCAGACAAGACAGACTTCAGTCCCAATCGCTCCACGACGAGAACACACGACGAAAGAACTTCAGGATAGCTTCCTATCTCCGCGCCGAGTAAGGAATTAACATTGGCTCAGCTGTCCAGCTTTCGTCGATTGACTTCGAATCGCATTCCACAGCGGCCAGTCTCGGTTGCGAAATAGTCCAAGGATATAGCTTATCACACTGTCACGGCAACAAAGGAGGTGATTACGAGCCAAAACTTTTACTAAATAATGCTTTGTTTTTACAAGGACTGAAAGACCGAGGTGACAGTTTGCGGAGCAATGCTACAGTCTTCAAATGGTCATCACAAATCCTCCCTACGATGAATGCCTGCTTCCGGCGAAGGAGAAAAATTGGCGTGACCCACAACTCTTCTATCCCTACCCATCAACCAATGGATAGTTTTCCTGGCCAAGGAGGCGGCGTGATGACTGCTTTCTTCATTTACAGTAGGCTGCGGAAGAGCCTGACTAGGAGGACCGACCCACGAACTGTCGAAGCTCCCGACGGAGGACGTGTCAAGGCCGCCAACGCTTTCTTTCGAGGCGGTCTCAAAACCACCGTCTTTGGACGCAGTTTCGAAACCTGTGTCCTTCGAGGCTGTGTCGAAGGCAACCGTATCCTTGGAGGCAGTATCGAAACCACCGTTTTCCGACAGGGTCCTGCGACTCCGCCCGCCTATAGTAAGACTATCGGGAACAGGGAATCTGAAGGAAAATGTGCGCCTCGACATGCTGTGGTCTTTCTGAGACTCGCCCTGTTCAGACACTGCCTTACTCTTGGAGCTCCCATCCACGGGCGTCTTATCGCGCTTCAGCATGCTCTCGGCCAGTCGCTCCAGGCCGACATTGCTCCGCCATCCGCTTCCGAAGAACCTCTCGAGCCCGGCCAGAATCCTCGACTCCTCGCTCTCCTGAACCTTCTCGGGAATGATGGTTTTGCTGGCCCCCGCGGCGCGAATTTCCTTCGCTTCCAGATCGATCGTCACCCACTCCTTCTCCCTTTCAATTTGAGTCTCCTTGCCTTTCCCCTTCGCTCGCCCATCGTCGAGCGTCGTGGCGTCGCCCTCCTCGAACCTGGGCACGAGAGATGCCTCGGGCGCCAGACGCCCGAGGTTCAGCCTCGAGGTCGCGCCGCCGTCCTGCTTCGAGATGAATTCGGGCGTGGCCAGGCCGCGCGTGGCCCAGAACAGCTCGTCGGCGGGAGTGCCGGGGTTCGAACCCAGCTCGGGAATGCTGTCGGAGAACACGCTCCGATGGCGCGGGCGACCGGTGGTCACCTCGCGGCTCTTACCGCGGCCGGGATACGGAGTGGGCGCGATCACCACCTGCAGGTTGGCGGGGTCGACTACGTACTCGTAGGAGCCCATGGAGTAGGAGCGTCCGCGCAGAATCGACCCGCTGCCGCCGTGATTGTTGGCCCGCCGCTCCACCCGGCCCAGCTTGACGGAGAGCACGGAAGCGACGGAGGCGCTGCTCTCCGTCCGGTCGAGCACGGGCTGGATTTCCGGGCTGTCGAGCCCCAGCCGGTTGTCGTCGTCCTTGCCCAGGTCGCTGCCGGAGCCCCCGCCGTGCTCCGCCAGCAGCGACGAGGACGCGATCCGCCGGCTCAAGTCCGCCGTCCGCAGGCTGTCGCCCATGCTGCGCCCGCTGCCGAGGCGACCGGAATCCGAGAAGGCCCCGGCGCCGGGGCTGACGTCGTCAGAAAGGAGCGCGCACCGGCATAGCGGGCAGGTCGAGTGCGAGAGCAACCACGTATCGATGCAGTCGATGTGGAAGGCGTGCTTGCACTTGGGCAGCAGGCGCAGGCGGTCCTCGCTCTCGAACTCGCTCAGGCACACGGCGCAATCGGTGCCCTCCTTGAGCCCGCAGATGGCCTTGTACGGGAACACGGGCAGAGTGTCGATGAAGGCTTGGTCCACTCCCGAGTCGTGGAGATGGAAGAGATGCTGCAGCTGCCCGTGCAGCGCGCTCATGGCGCTCTCGGTCGGCTCGCGGCGCGACGCCACTCGGCCGCAGCATCGCGCCAGCAGGTGCAGGAACCCCGACAGCAGAAACACCACTGTGAGGATGACCACGATGATGACGACGCTCGGATTGAGGCCCCGGCTCGACTCCTGCCTGGTGGGCGAGCTCAGGTGCTCGTTGCCGTCCGCCAGCAGCGCTCGGTGGTGATGCCCTGGGTGCGGCACGCCTTGCTCTGGGTGCAGCACGGCGGAAAGAATCCAGAAGAGTAACATGGCGCTCTGCTTTCGTGCGGTGTGGCCGTCGGGTTCTGCTCCACGGTCCAAGCCAGACACTCGGCGGCGCAATAACTCATATACCTTTCAATCGCTTAAATCTCTTCGCTGTTGTCGACGATAACCATTCGCTTGGAGGTCGGAGCTGACCGAGCGGTCGGTTCAGCAGTATTAGTAGAAAGTCCAAAAGCTCACGAAGGCATGCTTCGCCTTCGCCGAAGCGGCCCGAGCTCAACTCGAAGAACTTCGTTCCGATGTCATGTGAGCTCTGCAGCTGCCCGGACGCGGGCGAGGCTAGCTCGAGCAGCAGAAACCTCAAACATGTAGGCCCCGTTCCTCCCGCGGCATCCTGTCGTCGTCCCCCACACCTCCCGTGAGCTGCGCCATGCATGAACTCGAGAACCTCGCAGGACCGGCGATGACTTCCATTACGCACGCGTGGACGAACATTGGAGCGAGACTGATCCGACAGGACTAGGCAGATTTTCCTCCCTCGCCCGGCAGAAACATGACCCCGCGACTCGCCGCAGCATAACAGAATAACCTCCTTCGCTCTCTCTGTCACCGACTCCAAAGCACATCACGGACAGCATCCAGAGAAATGCAGGCCGTGTGTGAGCACCGCGTCCCTCCAGCGCCGCCGCCCGACACTCTCTCCAAAGCGAGCCCCTGAAATCCGAAGTCGAGGATAAGAGCGAAAGGCGAAAGCTGCAGCTCGCACCGAAGTTCAGCAGCTAGCATCCTACGTCAATGTCTCTCGTTGGAAAAAAAATTCGACGTTCACAGCTCAGACTCGAGCCTCCTCGAATGCTGGCACGACGAGCTCAGGAACACAGCGTGTTTGCTCGCTCCGCAGCCGCGCGCCCTCCTCAAACCCAAACCTCAAACCCGCCCGGGAGGATAGAGCATTCCAGGGGCATGCCATAAACTCGAGCGCGACGTTCCTGTGCAACACGGATTGACGCGAAGTCAGCGGGAAACCCAGCGAAACTCGGTCGACTGAAGCTCGGACGCATTGGCTAGGAGTGGCGAGGGAGAGAGAAGAGAGCAAAAGAGAGGAGCCGAGAGGTGCCGAGAGGTCGCGAGAGGTCGTTTCCTGACAAGCGAATGGCGTGCTCGGGGTCATAATTGGTCGAGCGGGCCCATGTCCCGATGCAGGCCAAGGCGAGGCAAGGCAAGGCAAGGCAAGGCAGGCGAGAAGCCGAAGCCGAGCCCGAGAGCTCTCGTTGCTCGCTCGCTCGCTCCTCATCTGTTACCGTTTGCGGCTCCCGCCCGACAAACGACAGCGAAATTTAGCCTGGGGCTCGAGATTTCAAACACGGCCTAAACGTCCGCCTCCCGACCCAGGCAGCGGCCTCCAAATAGACGGACATCTAGCTTATTGTAGCCCGCCTCGTCCAGCTGAACAGACAGCTGGCTCATTATGATGTATCTCTTCGAGCTTTTAATGTTCCCACCGTCCCTCTTCAGACATATCATTTGCCACATTTTCCATCATCCATCGTGCCGCCAGGAGCACTGTCGATTTCCGCTATTTTGGATCGAGAATTCCTCGCCTTTATTATTATTTTTTAAATTGCCCGGGTTATATATTCTGCTCCTGTACGTCTGCTCTCCCTCTCCCTTACGAAGACCGTCAATTCAATTCGTCTGTCTGTCTCTCTGTCTGTCTACGTAGGCCCCATCTGTGATCCGTCGCCTCAATCCTATTGCTGTGTGTGGGAGTAGGCAGGCACACGAGAGGGACCACCGCTGACTGACTGAATATCCATCCCCAAACATATCTGCTGTGCATACCTTTGGCACGAGTCGGTTTCATTTCGTGCAAACCGCAGCTACGACTCCAGAAAGGATACCAGACTTGGCGACTGAGTGGGGGGATAAAATCTCATCAGCTCTTGGGGGCAAATAATCCTGCTTCCCCTGTGGAAGAGGTGTCGATTGGCACTCGATTGATGTAAGGGAATCCAGTTGGCCTGGACCCTTCCGTCGAAATGAGTGACCATTACTGGAAATGGTACAGTGCTAATTGAAACGTCTGCCGAAGATCAATTATGTCGCAAATCAATCAATCCATCAACTATCCGTGGTTCTTTTTGTTCCATGAGCCCCTGTTTATTACTACCGATGTCCAAAAGTTGAATACTTTTTAGGTTTTAATGAGCAATTTGGGGATCTAGAATACTTCGTTGGAAAGTAAGGTCGACATCATTTGCAGCATGTGGAGGAAAGCGATGCAAAGTTCGGATGTTAAATGGAGGTGACACGATCGCGAAAACCTTTCCGTATATCCCATGGAATAAAGCCGTCGGCTCGGTGGCTGGCTCAGCCTATCGGGTTGCACCGATTTGAAAGATACTACTATGACGTAACAAATCTTTTGATAAAACAAATATCCTCACAACACATATGTAATCATTTGATTAAATATGGTTACATTCATTTGTATGGTTTCAGTGGAAAAAATTACTTGATTTCAACATCATGAAAACAACACACTTGTTGGGATCCACCATTATATCTAATAGATAATCCAAGATTTCTATACTACACATCTTCATCCATGTTCAAATACAATTTTTGGGTTTCACTATATCTAGTGGTAGAGCAAATTTGAGCTAGAAAGAAAGTTTCATGTTTCATTTTGGCACGAATACGTGTCTTGCCGTACTTGTGGATATGTGATGTTCACGGTCGGTTAACATCGCAATCCTACCACTACACCAAATCGATCTACACATAGTAAATAGAAAAAGGGTTGCCGAAAGATTGCCATGTGATAAGAAGATGAATCATTTGATGATTTTTGATAATAAGCTCGCGTTGTTCTAAGAGATGGACCTTAAGGTCTTAGCTGTGTGCGTTGTGAATCAAGTGGCACAAGTGGGGAACCCATTGCGTGGTTGTTGTTGAAAACCAAACTTTTGATATTGAAGAACTCATTGATTCTAATTTATCACAATGGCCAATCAATGCAAAGTGCATGTGTTCGTGATCTAGTAAAAAAAATTAGTCAAAACACATAAGATGTTCGTGCGGAATTATTTCTTGTAGTAGTATTATTTGAATTGTGCAGCTCCAAGCATGAATTTCTGATGCAAGATAACACGTGGCTACAATAATTTGAAATGTCTCATTTGCCGCATACCTTTACCTTGAAGTCAAATATTTATGAATTTGAATACTATCATGGTAAGATACTTTCATTGGCCAACATCAAACCAATTGTCATTGTTGAGACAGCTAGAATTCAAAGTAAACAAATGAAAAAAAAAACGATGACCTTCGAGTTCAATGCTTATATAACCCGATTAGGTGGATACAGTTGTAAAAGATTGTGTAGTCAAGACAACTGAGTCTTAATTGCTAGCTAACTTCTTGTCTAACTAGCTAAATTGGTAGGTAGAATCCTCCATTCATATCCAGTGAATTAGGAGTGCACAAGAGATCCAAGGTATGGATAAATTCCACCCGAAAGCTTCCAAGGCCACTCATTCTAACACTTCTCCTTGACCGCAGGAACGATTTGTTAAAAACTCCTCCTTTATTAAATGCCAGTGGAAAAATTCCCGAGTGGAGATAAAAGTGCATACTTTAAGATTGACTAAGGTCCAAAAGTGAACACATGCAGACTGCTTGTATGCTAGGAGCGTCTTTGTCAACATGTCAAATATGTTCTCATTTGATCTGTGTGACAATGACTTGATAAGTCTTCACAAAGTTCTGGCATGAATCCAAACAAAGTTGGGCTAATGTGTTTCACACAAACAAGTTTCTGCTTTGATGAAGCCCTTGGCGACTTGCACTACGACGTTGACGTTGTTTTTGTAAATGATGATGATCTTGGTCCTATGATTGGTCTTGCATTAGTCCCAAATAGTCTATACCATGATGCGAAATCAAAATACTATAACATTAGGATTTAAATAGAAGTTCAATTGAAGATGAATACATAAATTTTGAAGATGAAAGATACCAACAATGGTTCTCTTTTCCTTACATAACAAGTACAAAAAGATAAGATTTTATTTCCACCATCAATGTGGCGGATAACCTTAACAAGCACACGGATTGTTGATGTGGCCCTTCCGACTAACCAACTCAATCTTTATCTAACAAGCACATGGATCGTTGACGTGTCAATGTCGACTAACACACTTACTCTTTACCTACCAAGCAAACGGATCGCTGATATGGCAACTATGACTAGTGCGCACTAAAATAACTGTATATATATTTTGATTAACCTCTACTTTAGTTTCAATTAACTAAATATGGTTACAAACCTCTCTTCTTTTAAGACGGAATGTACTCATTGCACATTCGTTCAAATTCTTGAACTATCAATGATGCATTAGATACATTTCTAGCTAATTTTTAAGTTAATTTGTATGATGAATATCTTTTCCATTGAACTAAATACTGAACCTTGGGATACTAACTATCTCAAATCCGTTTCTTGTGTATCTTTTTTACTACAAATTCTTCTTAATCAACTATCAAGGTTGGTAAAGGAGTTAACACTAGTTGTTTTGTGAATTATTTTGATCGTGGTATATGTTTTTGTAATCGTGATCCATAAAATACATGATGGATCTTTATATATGACTTGTATATAAAAATAATTGTTGATATAATAAAAATAATTTTCATTTATAAAAATCCATCATGTATTTCATGGATCACGATTGCAAAAACATGTAACAATACAAACAATATTTGTGATATTGAAACTTGTTGATGAAGTGTCATACAAGTTAAAGCTTCATAAATTTTGTTTAATTTGTATGACACTTCACCAACACGTTTCAATATCACAAAAACACTAATCAATCTAGTGTAAAATTTTGGTGTTTCTTCAAAAGACAAATTTGTTGTAGATAGTCAAACCATATCTTTGATCTGAAAGACTAACTCCCAACGATGAGCATCAGCATGTTGTTTTTGTTGATTTTCAACAATCAACAAATTTCTCTATGCAAGCAAAGGAGAAAATTTGCATGTGTAGCACAAACTTTCACGGCGGATATGTTCCATAAACTTGTTGACCGCGACTACCTTAGTTGAAAACTTATTTTCTTTCAAAAACTTCATCAAACTTGATAGAATAATGATATGAGCACCGTACATGAGATAAAATAGATACACTTTTTGTGGATGCATTTACGCAATTGTTGTATGCAAATTCCACAAAAGTCAAAGAAGTATCCCACTTTTCTTGTTCCTAAATTATGAATATATGTATCATATACTCTTTAGTTCTATTGGCTATCTCTGATTGATCATAAGTTTGAGTATGATAAATTGTTGACTTTGTTAATTTGGTTTTGAAAAAACTATACAAAGTTTTCCAAAACAAACTAGTGAAATGAGTACTTCTATCGATAACTAAGACTTTGTTTATTACATCATTCACAAAAATAACAACTAAGTACAATTGAGCAAGTTGTGGAGTCGTCATTGTTTTTGTAATTTTTCTGATGTGAATTATCTTGTTCAATTTTTCTACAAAAATCACCATTGAATCGTTTCCTAATGAAGTTTTTGGTCCTCCTTGTAGTGCCGATGGAACTTGGCAATGTGAGCCATTTGTCCACATGCATAGCATTGCATTGACGATTGTCACAAACTTGTCACTCCTTGAACCATTCTATTATGTGCATAATCTTCTTGCAAATTTATAACTCCTGGTCGCTGAATCTCACATCCAAATCTTTGAGGTGGTTCTATTGCTGGTGCAAAATTTTCTTTACGTAAAAAGTTTTCCAACTTCATTGGTGTAGTACCAATGGAGTTGAAAATGATGTAGTACCATATGGATCTTGAAAATTGTTTGTTGTTTCATTATGTGTGACACCATAAGCACCCAAAATTTTTTGAGCAATTTCGATTGCTTCATTCAATGTGGATGTATTGTTTATCATCATTTCCTATATACTCTTATCGTTACTCCGCCCTCCCGGAATCTAAAATTTTGACTTTCGACAATGGTGAGTATGTTACACTCTTGCTAGGCTGCGCGCATGGAAGTTGGTTTAAAGAACTAGGAAAGCTTATGGATAGTATGAGTGGATTCATTATCTAAAAGCATTATCTAAGTGATGTGTCCCATTGTGTACTCTGTCTAGATATTTGAATCATGTAATTCACGAAATCAGTGTCATTGAAAGAATGTGCATTGAGAATGTGCACTTCTCTCTTCTACTCTTTCAGCTTTTGTAGTTCTTGGTACATTTCTTCAAAGTATTGAGGAGTTTGGCACTCACGTGCATAATGACATTGC